AAAAAAACTAAATTGTTCTTATAAAAAAATCATTATTTATTATAGTTCATGTATGATTATATACTTAAACCATGATAGTTCTATGATTTTTATTTGGTGTGATATAATCAAATGGTTAAAATAAATTCATACAGAGAAAAATATCTCAATATTCACATATTGATGAAAAAAATGAAAATTAATAATATAGTACTCTAATTTCTTATTGGATTTATAGAAAACAACATTTATCATAAATTTTAATAAATTTTTTATATTTTATTTACAGCTCAATCAGACTGATTCGACTGATTTCCGATCCGAATCACCATTCCGGATGGATTTGTTAGGTGCCCGATCCGAGCTACTTATCCGTTTTTAAAACCACTGCTTATAGCACATAAATGGATATTTGGTGGGGTTTTAAAGGGGGCCCTTGATTGTTTAAGGTTCATGCCTTATGTAATTACACCCATACAATGCACAAATTTTTGTATGTTACCTTAAAGTCATATTTCATACGCACATTGTACATTTGCTTTCTCGGGTAAAATACACTTTTCCATTAAAATTGTTGAGATTCACTTTAGAGTCATGATTATTTTCTAAATTAAATAAAATAATTTACACTTTTTCATTAAAATTGTTGAGATTCACTTTAGAATCATGATTATTTTCTAAATTAAATAAAACTAAATTTTGATGTAGTTGTTCTACTGAAGGAAAAAGTTTATATAAGGGCAAGACCCTAAACAATCAAATTAAGGCGTGCCTCAAAAATTCATTAGAATAGGTTGTTTCGATACCCAAAAATCCTCAAATTGATCATCTCGCCTGTATGGAAGTGAGAAAAATGGATTTTAAATCTTGGAAATGGTGGATCTTATAATGCATTTTTTGACCGTCAATTTTCAAGACTTTCAAGTGTTCATAGATCTGCTCGATCTACACTATTTTTTAAGCTTTAAATTTTATAATTATATATAAAAATAAATTCTCATGCCATCACAGAGATTCCCACTATTGAAACAACATCTTTTGACACACTTTGAAGGTGCGCCTTATTTTGATTGTTTAGGGCATTAGCCCTATAGAAACCACGCCCTTTATTAAATGAAAAATTGTTTGATAGGGCTGGAGCCCTATCAAAATAAATAAAGCCTCACCTCATAACTCACTGAAAATTGCAATTCAAGAGTTGAAAAAAACTTAAAATGGATCATCTGAGCTTGAATATTATGGTTGTTAAAAAACATTAATATTTCAAATTCTAAAAATAGTGTATATTACAATAAATCATTTAGACTGCCCATTTTACCTTAAGTAGTCATAGATCGACAAGATCTGTACTATTTTTTTAGTTTCAAATTTTATTGTCAGTGTGGAAAATTGGTTTTAGATCCATCATCAGATTTTTGATGCCAAAAGTACTTTCCTCCTGGGGATTTGAGGTGACGCTTTATTTTATTTTCTTAAAGCCTAGGCCCTATAGAAATTTCATCCATTAAGTTTACAATGTGCTCCCAGGAAACCGCCGACTCAGAGGAGCTACACAATATAGGGAAACCTTTGGCTGTGCAATAGAGTTCAAAACTAAATTGTTTCCGTTTAAATATTATATGTTGAAGGTGAAATAATTTAAAAGTTATTAAAGGATAAGTTTATATATGGTGTCAACTTTTTATTTTTGGGTAAAAGTCGGTGGAAGAGAAGGTATCGTACCTGATTTTCATTAATTAAAAATAAGAATGAGAATTATATATTATTTTACAATTTTATAATAAGGCAGTTACGCCAAATCATGAATTAACATAGTGGAAATAAAGTATAGTAGACGATAACATCAAATAGCAGCACCAAAGGTAGCATATGCTTTCTTTGCAAAGACATCAGTTACCATATTTGCTTCACAAAAAATATAAATAATAGACAACCTATAGGTAGAGATACTGCTCCGACAATTGTCTGCAATTGTCGGTAACCGCCATGAGGCATAACATCGATCATATATATACGGTGTCAACTTTTTATTATATATGTACCGCACGCATTAAAAACCTATAAGAGAAAATGTGGTTCCAAATGCTAAAAACCCTACCAAATAATTACCTTGTCATTGGGGTGTATGAATATGGACAAAAATGAAACATAATATATATTGTAATGCTAGACTGTTATTTTTTTTAATATTTAAGTATTTACATTTGTTAGAGATGACGTGAAAAATAGATTTTCAAGCCATTGTAGGGGTTTTCAGCCATAGAATTGCTTTTTTCAACACATTTTGAACTTAGGCCTTACTTTTTAAGGTTGGACTAATACAAACTGTAATTTTTATGGAAATATATAATACATGCACATAAAACATGAAGGAGAAAGAAAAAAAGGAGCTATCGACCGTATACCACATAGGTGAGATGCACCTATAAAACCCATTGGAGGTCATTTCGGCACCAAAAAAACCTCTAATTAATCATTCCAACCTCAAGATGTATGGACACAGAAAGAATGATTGTCTTAAAAAGTAGTTAATATTATAATTACAGGGACCATTAATTTTCAAGATTTTTAAGTGTTTATAAAGCAGTTTGATATGTACCATTTTTTCAAGCTTTAAATTTCATAATTAAGGGTGAAAAATGTTTTTCATACTATTTTAATTCTTCCCAATACTGGAATTAAATTTTTTACCAAGATTTAGAGATATGCCTTACTTTAATTGTTTAAGTTTACACCTTGTACAAACTGCACCCCTCTTAAAATTTTACATTTCATATGAGATAATATAAAAGGCTTTGTTCGGGTGACAATTAATGTTATTTGGAGCAAACCATCTTATATGAAATTAATACAACTTTAAATAATATTATTTGTTAATTGTTTAGTACGTACATTGTGTTATATACAAAATATTATTTAACTATTTAACTTATTGATAAAAAAAAGAGTTATTTGGCTAAGAACATTCATCGTTAGCAAATTACTATGAGTAAAGTAAAAATAAATTATGAAAAAAGATTAATTTATATGTGAAACTGTTATTTAACTATTTAACTTATTGATAAAAAAAGAGTTATTTGGCTAAGAACATGCAATGTTAGCAAATTAGTATGAATAAAGTACAAATAAATTATTTAAAAAGATTAATTTATATGTGAAGCTGTCTATTAATTTATTTCACAATCAAACAATAATTAATTCACTTTCACAATTAGTTTTACCAAAACAGTGAATTATGAGTGATAATGAATACAACCAAACATGTTCTAAATTTTTCTTTTTTCTCTCGGTGAATTGCTATAGATGAGGTCACATGTACAGCTTATAGTTAGCAAGTCGGGGACTATCACTAAATCGGCTCACCATAAAATTGAAAATAAATTATTTTTATTTTAAAAAATCAGATGAAACAATCGGGTAAAAAATACGGATTGAAAAAAATACTTCATATAAATATATCGCTAATATATCGGATTAGGCTAAAAAATTTGGAGTAAAGAAAATCAGATAAATTTATAATATTAGAAAAATTGAAATTCTAAAAAATAAAAATTATGTCAAAGCCATCAATTACTAATTCATCTAATATTAAATATACAATTACAAATTCATCTAATATTAAATATATAATTAACTAGATAATTAGATATTTTTAATATATAATAATTATTTTATATATTAAATATATAATTAACTATATATTAAATATATAATTAACTAGTATATAAAAAAATAAAAAATGTACTATATAAATGAACCCGTTAAATACTTTAACAAACATCACACATACTTATTACATACAAAAACAAATATACTATACAAATTTATTCATTAAAATACTTTAACTATGGTATGGTGACAAATATATTGTATGAATTTATTTATTAAATACTTAAACATCGCACCCACTTAGGAGATATGATTTTTGTTTTCTCATTACAATGATTTAACTATGATATAGTGATTATGGTCACTCCATAACTATTTTATAAATTTATTTAATGGAAAATAGGCTCGTAAAAATTTGGGTTTCACACGTGTTTATGGTTTAGAGAGAGAAGGAAGAAGGAAGATAATAAAATAGGATTGGCCTCATAGCCATTGGGATTTATAGAGAGAAAAAACGGAAGAAAAAAGAGGTCATGGGCTTCACAAACCCTAACATAAGAGGCCCTAATTGATTTGTAGAGAGAGAAAAGGAAGAACCCTAATGGAAGAGGCCGTAAGTAATTTTTAGAGCGAGAAAAAAAAGATGGTATGCTGATTTGAGATAATTTAAATATGGTTTTTCTCTCTGATTTACGATAATTTGAAGATGATTTTTTATTTTTTTAGGGAAACAGCAAGCAAAGCTGAAGGATTAAGTTTGGGGAACTAATGTTACACGTACAATTGCTTGTTCATGTAAGTTTACAGTTTATATAATCCAAAACAAACATATTGATTGCTTGATTCTGTAGTTACACTTTCTGTTTCTCATTTATTAGTAAAAGACTATGTTTTGAGCTCTAATTTGTGCCATAAACAGTATTTTCATAAAAACAAATCATCACAGAAATCTGCATGTTATATGATTTCTTTACACAATGATTTACTTTATAAAATGATTATTTCTTTACACAATGATTTACTTTATAAAATGATTTGCTATAAGGAGTGTTTAATTTATAGAATGATTTTCCAGAGTAACAACTGAAATCTGCATCTATTTGTTTAAGTTTTTTTAAAAATTCATACCACAACTGTGGCTTTGTAGAATACAGTCGGGATAGAATATTTTAAAATTTTTTCGTATTATGAAAAAGTGTGTTTTAAACGATTTTATGAAAACTACGCGATTTCTTGCCGATCTTTTAAAAAAATGGCCGTTTAAAACTGTTTCCATAAAAACTCCGATTAAAGGGCGATTTGCTAACTATGGTAGAGCCCGGGAAATACAGTGAATAGATAGTATGATCCCGCGAGAGCATTTTAGCTCTTGGCTTTTCGTTACGGGGCGAATAGATAAATGACATGGCGGTAAAACGGTAAACGGAAACCAGTTATGGAAGACGCACTGTGTCTGCACCTGCCCAAGCTCTCGGGGGGAGCGTCAAGCGAAACCCTAGAAATAGTTTTGCAAACGCTGTGGAAAACCAGGAAAACAGGGCTTTCACATGATGAGAAAGATTACATTCAGGGCCTTCTCCTGATGCATTCTCAAGAAGAGCTCGACCCTGTAAGTGAAAAATGTGAATAAAACCCATAAATTTATTTCCTGCATTAGTTTATTATGCATAATTTTATTAAATTATCTGGCCCAAGTGAGAAAAGAATCAAAACCCATGTTTCAATTTCTATTATTATGCATCTATTTGGTCTCTGATCATGGTTTTCTCATTGTTCATTGAGTATTTTTTGTTGGGTTTTCTGCTTGGGTTTTTTCCATGAGCAGAAGGACTTTGTTTGCTTTATTGCGTTAATTTATTATATTCCACCATATAATCATCTATGTTTTTTTCTTTGTTTAATGCAAATGCTTGTGTTTTTTCTTGCCTTTGCGGAGAAAAGTTTAGTCACAGTATTTGATATTTCAGTATTTGTTTCTATTGATTTCTGGCTGCCTTTATGCTGCATTTCCCATGTTTAGAACCTGTCTTTCTTTTTCCAGAAATTTGTTCATTTGGGGCTTAGTGGATTTGATACATATCGAGCAATACATTTTATTGCTTCCCCTTCTATTTTATTCGGCAAAATGGGGTTCTCATTTTTATTTATTTATGATGAATTGAGTATATTTATTAAAGAATATTATGAGTTTTTCAGCTTACTAGGGGTTCTCATGTTTCTTTGAACACCATTCAATGCATGATTATTTATAAGTAAGATGACCTTTGGTGACTACAAAGGCACGTGATGTAGATACTTCGAGGCAGGTCAATTCAAGTGTCGAACTAGATTTTCTAGAAAAATTGGAACTCATCGTTTTCTCAATCCTCGTGGACCCATGTTCATGCATATCGTAGCATAGCATATTGTATTGCTTGATTGTCAAGTTAATAAGCTTCCTGATAGCTAACTTCTTGGCTTGATTTTTCCAGCTTGACCTATCTTAGAACTGAAGATTCATTGAATCTAAGCAAGGTTCACTAGCTGTTCTCATCATCCTTCTCTGTGATAGGGTCATACCTTGCTTCAGAGACTGATCTTCCAATAAAACAATGTTCTGAAAATGATGTCGGGCACTAACATACTCCTAAATATATGATGTTCTTCACTTTTATATGTGTGTCTCTTGAGATTCCATTCTTTATAAGCTATGATTGATATTTTATTTGGGAGAGTATACTATTGTCCAATGGACTGCAGAAAACAATAGTCCTTTGGATCATCATTGTCGAAAGAAATGATGGAGGCTGCGAGCCACCAGAATTGGACGTGACCCAGTGGTGGGTCCAATGCTCTCTCCATTACTGTCTCTCATCTGATAATGACGACTCCAAACTATTTTGTCAAAGGCTATTTGCTTGTAGTATACTTCCCCCTTTCCTTTAATAATCATACAATAAAATGTAGTTTGTTTCTTGCATTCTATTAGCATGGTTAAGGAAAGTCATGATGAATGACAGTTAACTTCATGGATCTTTAGGTACTCGCATGTCTCCGTTCCCTTATCAGAAAGTGTGTACATGAGAACTTGACTGGGGATGATATCCAAAAGCTGTTTCCTCTTGAAGTTCCTCTTGAACTACAAAGTATTCTTGTACTACTGCTGCAAAAATATCAAAGCCAGTGGAAGGTGGATACCTCAAAAGATCAGGTCTAGTATGTTTGAAAGGATAGTCCCAGTGGACTATTGTCTATTCTCATGCATATGTTCACTCTCCCGTTCTTTGAGCTCTCCCTCTCTCCAGAAATAAGTACTTGTGTGACTGTCTATTGGTGATTTTTATTTCCATATTCTTTAAATTCTGTTTATGGCTTCTAATTGTTCCGTGATAATCCTTGTTTTGCTATGTTGGTAAGTATAATCTAGTAGTGATGCATCCATTCCCATGGTTTATTATCTTCTGTTTTTTTTGATGGTCCCATTGATTCCATGCTTTATTCTATAATCCAGCCTCAGTGGCCAAGACCAAGAACTTCATATCATGCTAAAGGCAATACATTGCCCACACAAATAGCTTTCTCTACTTTGGATATGTGGCCTCGCCAAGATGAGACAGAACAACGCTCGACTGTTGTTCCTACAACACCTTCTACTGAATTGAATCCTCCTCGCTTGCCTCCTCTACAACCCCAACACGATGATGGGCCGCCTCAAAATTTGGTAGGGCTGTATAAAACTTGGCATATGTGTGTTCTCACTTGAGATTGTGGGGAAATATATTAGTGATGTATAAATGCAAAGATTATGTCAGTAGTCTTTAACAAACACAACATGGTTTTGTCTATTTTTAATGTTAGAATTAGGATCGTGGCCAACAAGATAACAAACCCATCCATTTGTCTTCCATAGCTAGTTGCTCGATTCCCTATGCCCTTTTGTTCTTGTCTCATAAGATTATGTTGGGTATTTTTCTTTGGTGCATTTAATGCAAATGACATTATAAATTCTAAAGTCTTTTAACTATCAAACTGTTGCTTCCTTTATTTCCTTTTGTTGGAATAAGGATTGTGGCTGACAAAATAAAGAACTTAAAACTCATTTATAATCCACTAAATTCTTGAAATAATGTTTGGACATAATTTTTGGAATACGTTATTCAAAAGGCATATCATTTGTCTTTAATAATCACTTTAGATTCCTCATTTTATTTGTTAGAATCAAGATGACAAGCAAAATAAAGAACTCGTTTTACTTCTACTATATATTCAAATAAAATAAAATATTGGCATGGGAAATAATGACTATTCTTTTGCCAGATGTTTCTTCCCCGACTTAAGTCAATGACTTGGGCCATGGAGAATCAGAATTCAACACCTGCTAATAGAGTGGCTATCATCACTTTAAAGGTATGAGATAATAAGAACCAACATGAGGGGGCCACAGAAAATGGTTATCGATCTGGTTATGTATTATATAAACTGCACTGTAATCTGTTATAATTATTGGTTGCCAAAGCAACAGTTATTGATTGCAACTAAGTTATTCAACAGCCACTAATAACCTGAGTTATCTTTGGAAAAAAATGGTTTACATAGTCAGATTATAATTACATGAATTGGTCTATTGCAGCTTCAAGATTATGCTAATTCTCCTTCAGGAGAAACTGAGGAAAAGTTCCAGCTTTCCAGGGACACTCTTGATGCCATGTTGAGATCAATGGCCTATATAAGTGAGCAGCTTTCAAACGCTGTAAGTGGCTTCTCAGCTCGACTGTAATCTCTCTATTCTAATCTTTCTAAGTGATTTTTGCAATAATGAGAGTTTTGAAATTAGGGGATGTACCTTTTGTCGTTCATCAAAGGTGAAATTGCCCCTCTAACCAGCACTTGTTTATTGTATGTGCTTTCCCTTGTTGAAGATTACAAGAATCCCTTCTCATGATTGGCTTTTAAAATTACAATATTTGACCCTCAACTTCTAGTATAACCTTTTCATTAGGGAGCAATTTTCACAATTTGTTTGGGGTACATGAAAACTATATGCATGAGGACATATGTAACAGTTATTCTCATATTAGCATTAACTTTCCAAAACAAAAAGAAAAAAAAGAGAAAGTCTCATGTTAATATGACTTAATAATTAGTCATATTCGGCGTTGCTTTCTTCATCACATAGGGTAAACTTGCATTGGGACCTCAGCTACACAACACCTTCATCACCTAATAACTTCTTCTGTCCTTTAAAATAGATACCCCACAGTGAGAATTTTTATTGTACTTGTAAATCCTAACTAAAGTGCATGATTCCCCCATGGAAGTGATATGTCTACTATAGACTGAAGTATTTTTGGTCATTATGGGCTTTATATATTCATCAAACACACAGACGAGTGACGAAATTTAGTGAAAATTTGGTCATTTGTCTTTCTATAATATCATTTCCCTGAAACTAAGGGTAGAAATATTTTTTAAATCAAATGAAAATTTGGTTATTTGCCTTTCTTTGGAAGCTTTCGCTCTTTTTTTTCTTTTTTTTCCTTGGGATGTATACTGTGATCCACATGACTGTAGGAACTTCATGACCGAATGGTTATCAATGTCGCATTAATGGACTGTATGGTGTTTAGTAAGCGGGTCCCATTATAGAATTTCAATTAATGAACTGTGTGGGCCTGGCCTTACGTTCTCTTCATCAGTCTCCAACTAATTGAATGAACAGTGATAAGCCCAACAGTTATGGTTGTTATTATGACCATATGGATCATATACTTTTTCTTTCTGGTGAATATAACTCGACTGATAAGGGCATATTGCTTATAGGACATGCCTTCTTCTACGCCGCCAATGGCTCCGCCATCCAAGAAGCAGCGCCAATAGCTTGCACCCATGTAAACCGACGAGGCCAAGCACGTTCGATAAAATATTGCCACATGTGGGCCTGCCACATCAGCATGGTGCATCCATCCATGCTGAAGTGGCGTCCCCCATTGGTTGAGACATGAGAAGGATTCTTGTTGTTGTGTATGGTTTCCTTATGCCTGGAGGCTTGCAAGTGGAGCCCCTTGGTTGCTTTTGCCTCAGTGATGAGTACTTGCAATTTTATTTAGAGTTAAATCAGGAAAATCTCTCTCTCTATATCTTTTATATAAATTATAGTCATGCCATTTAGTTGGGTTTAATGAAAATTGGGGGAAAGGGAGGGATTGGATTGTTGATTGCTTGGAATTTTGTTGATTTTTATGTATTTTAGAGAATATCTTGTTCATTTATACATTTCATTTGATTATATTGTGGGCACGGTTTCTGTGAGTCCATGTAGAAATGAGCCACCTCTTAAAAATCTATTTTTGAGATGGAGTTTTTTACTTCATTTTTAAGGACATGTGATTGGAGATCATGAATACGAATAAATAAATAAATTTTGAAAACTAGAAATAATAATTATATTAAAAAAACATTTGGACCATTAGTTTCAATTATTTTTAGATGGATCACCTATTTGCATCTATTTTTAAGATGGATGCTTTACACCTTGGGACTTCACATTGTAGAAATGCAGTCCAGCTCTGTATGAAACAATTTTCCTTCATTTTTTTTCATGAAGCTTAGGACTTATACTAGCCTTTTCCCTTTTTAAGAAACTAAAGTTCATTCTTAAGCCCTAAAACCCAAAATCATCCCTCTCTCTCTCTATGATGGTGAAGGAAATCATAAGCAACTACTACCAATAATCCTCTCTCTCTTCAATGATGCAGTAAATCATGACACTATATTCATCTTGATCATGAGATAAAAAATCACTGTTATAAAAAATCATTGTTACAAATTACTCTACTCTAGGTTAAATTCCCCACCATTTTGGATCTTCTAAATTCATATTTAAGGGCACAAAAATGATTTTCAAGCCATCATAAGGGGTTTTTGGCATCAAAATTGTACTTCATGATGGAGTGTCATAAAGCCACAACCTCAGGCTTCAAAAAATGAAAAAAAGTTGTTGCAGGGCCACGACTTATCTCGCCAAAAATTGTAATTAAGGGTTTTGAAAAATTCTGGAATTGATCTTCTCCATTTTGACAATTATTGATCTAAAAAATAAAAAAAATTAAAAATTTCATTGAAGAAATTTATATAGGGTCGAGGCTCTAAACGATCAAATTAGAGCCCACCTCAAAAAATTCATTAGAAGGGGTGGTTTTGATTCCCAAATATCCTCAAATTGATCATTTTCACATCAAGATGCATGAACATGAAAAAAATGGATTTAAAGTTTTGAAAATAATACATTTTGTAATGTATTTTTGGACCATTAAATTTTCAAGTTTTCATAGATCTGTTCGATCTATACTATTTTTTAAGCTTTAAATTTTATAATTAAAAATAAAAATATATTTGAAGGCTTTCACAAAGATTTTTAGTATTGAAACCGCATTTCTGGACACTATTTGAAAATGCGTTTTACATTGATTGTTTAGGCCTCGGCTCTATTCAAACCGCACCCTTAATATTAATGTATCTTGTGACTCTCCATTATCAAATAGTCAGGAGCTTCAAATTTCAGAAATAAATAGTTTATACAAGGCCTATACTTTAAAAATTAAAGTAAAGCAGCATCACATAAACCCCTTTGGAAGATATAGTTCATGCAGCAAAAAACCCATCATCATGACATAAAAATCAAAGATATAAAAAAAAAATAGATCTTAACCCATACATAAATGTATTATAAGTTATAACATATTATCATATGGATAAACATACAATGAGACCATTTATGTTTGGTTAATGTGGTCACAAATAATCTTGACCATTGAAATTTTTTTTTTTTGACCATTGAAACGAATTTTTTTTCGAACTTTATGATATAGCCAAGCTATTAGATTTTATGGTTGTACGTAATGCATTTGATTCTTGTTATAGCTTTAAAGTGGTGCAATTTGGCTTACAACACATTACTTGGGCTGTCTTTTTTCAAGTATTTACAATTCTTTCAATTTTGTGCTACTTATGGAGATTAAAATTTCACAATTAGGACATAAAATTTCACAATTAGGACTTAAAAATTTTACAATTACTTTTCTAAAGCAAGGAAAAGTGTTGCATGCGTCTGGTCGGGGGAGCATAACTATGCTTTATGTCCCCCAAGGTATCATACATCCATCTTTAAGATAGATGGAGAGTTGTGGTCCCTCTAAAAAAAATAAAAATCCTTAAGTATATTTTTTTCTAAAAGAATTATCATTTTTATTTACTTATTATTTATTTTTTACATATTAATAATCTCTATATTAGATATTACATGTACCTAAATTTTAGACTTAAAATCCATGGCGAAAATGAGTGGTGAAGAAGGGACATATATTTATAGGAAAATAGTTTGCTAGGGTTGCAACCTTATCAAAATAAGTAAAGCCTCACCTCATAATCCATTGAAAATTGCAATTCAAGTGTTGAAAAACCTTGAATTCAATCATCTCATCTTGAATATTATGGTTGTGAAAAAAAAAAAAAGGATTTCAAATTCTAAAAATAGTGTATACTGCAACAATGTCAATTTCACCCTAAAAATAACATTCACATATCTACAATATCGATACCATTTTTTTAACTTCAAATTTTATTTTTGATATTGAAAATTGATTTTAGGGCCAACATGAAGATTTCCATTGTCGAAAATGCTTTCCGAAAGACGATTTGAGGTGAGGTCTTTTTTTTTTTTGTTTTCATAGAGCCTCATCCTACTTATATAAGACACAAAAAAAATGGTCCGTACAACAAGAGTTGCTGCCTAAATAAAAAAGCGGGAAAAAATATTTAACCATTAAGAAAGATTGGCGCCACATTTTAAAGAGAGGGGCGGCTTTCAAATTTCTCAGGCACTGTACCCCAGATATTGAAGGATAAACACCCAACTGCTTCCTGTTGCTGCTGAGAAACTCTACAATTTGCAGAGAAAGAGTGGATCGGTATACGAGAGAGAAAGAGTGGATCCGTATACGAGACGAGAAACCCTAGAAGATCGTTTCTACACTGATTTTGCCGACAAACCTAAAATTAACAGAAGCCCTAATTTTCACAGAAACCTAAGTTTCTCAGATTTCTCTTGAGATAAATCGGAAAGATTGTTCCTGTTGGCTTCTTCCTTTGAGACACAGAAACTCTATAAATTTGCATAGAAACCTTGAAGATTATATATATATATATTCTCCAGATAAACCCTGAAGTTTATTATTGCATTACAAAGAAACCCATTTATCTTATGTCAAAGAAGAGAAAAACAGTTATCAATCTCCATGGATCAATCAGTAACCCTCCTGCAACTAAAGGCCCGCAAACTTGAGAAGAGGGGCAATGTCTTTGTACTAACTCTAACAGGCAACGGCAAACATCAATTCAATCCATCTTCCATTGAAGACATAACAAAAGCTCTGGACTTTGTTCACATGGCCCCTGGTCCGAAAGCTCTGACCACCACAAATGAAGGCAAGTACTTCTCTACTGGCCTCGATCTCAAATGGATTGAGCAAAACCTACCATCTTGCCTCAAAATCATTCAGCTAAAATTCGAAGGTCTAATGTGTAAAATGATGAAACTAGGGTTACCCACCTGTGCTGCAATTAATGGCCATGGATCGGCAGGTGGGTTCATTTTTGCCCTAGTCCATGATTACAGGCACTTGAAGAATGATAAAGTTGCTTTCTATATGGGTGAAATAGACCATGAAATGTTGATGCATAGAAGTTGGATGTCTGTGATCACAGAGAAAGTACCACCTTTTTGTTTGAAATCGGTGGTTTTGAAGGCCCACAAATTTGCAGCTTCTGATGCTCTTTGGCGTGGTTTGGTTGATGGTTTTATGGGGTGTTCAAAGACGAATCTGGAGCAGGCCATGAGGGAAGGGAATGCACTTGTGATGAGGAAATGTGACATGGAGGTTTATGCGAGCCTCAGGTGCAGACTTTACTCCAGCATGATCGAGGAGCTCGAGGCACATACGGATCCTTATTCATTGCCGAAGTGTTCATGGCTTTAAACTCGTTCTCTTTATCTCACTTAACTACACGTGAGTGTTCAAAATAAGATGGGTACCTCTGTTATGATGCTATGATCACATGTTTGTGAGATGCCTGACTTACAAGGAGAGCTTATTAATTCTCCCATAAGGGTGGCAATGGGCAGGGCCTTGGCCATTGTCCCTATAAAAAAAAGAGGACTGGGCTCTGCCAAATCGAGTGGTCGGCACTAACCCAACCCTGCCCTTGGATCATAGTTTGTGGCGCCCGCCCTACTTTTTTAGGGCCGGGCCATGCCGGTCTATTTGCCCGCTCTATTCTTCTGAAGAAAAACCTTAAAACAATTCTTTCAAGAGAAAAACGTATATACTATACTTCTAAAGGAGTATATTGTATACTTCTAAAAACAATTCTTTCAAGAGAAAAACGTGTAAACTATACTTCTAAAGGAGTATATTGTATACTTCTAAAGGAGTATATTTTGCATCCATCCCCTTATTCAAGATACCTACTTGGATGGATTTTTTATTCCTGAATTTTGGGGACCATTTAAGAATCACTAGATTATTTAAAAAAGAAAAAGTTTATATAGAATTGAGGCTCTGAACAATCAAATTCGAGCCTACCTCAAAAATTTCACTAGAAGAGATTGTTTTGATGCCCAAATATCATCAAATTCATCATCTTGACATCAAGATGTATGGGCATGAGAAAAAATGGATTTCAAGTTTTGGAAATAGTGTATTTTGTAACACAGATATGGACAGTCAATCTTCCAGAGTTTCAAGTTTTCATAGATCCCTCGATCTATACTATTTTTGAACATTTAAACTTTATAAATAAAGATGAAATATATTTTAAGGCTATCGAAAGGATTTCCAGTTTTGAATTTTGAGCTTTTGATCCTGCCTTCAAAACTATCCTCATTCAATATTGAATTTTGAGCTTTTGATCCTGCCTTCAAAACTATCCTTATTCAATATTGAGACATTATTTTTTCTAGTATAGAAAGTCAGTCCAATTGAAGAGGTTACTTCCTGAAAATGTAGGGTCGTAAAATTACTCTTCGGGTTTAACCGAGGGAATAAATACACAGTACACATCCAAAGGAGTATAAAATCTTTTTGCCTTAGGGAAACCCTCATAAGGCCTAGTTTGGGTTTGTCGCCATTGCTGAGAAACCCTTTCCTGTATCCATCAACCTCCATGGATCAATCGGCACTACTGCAACTAAAGGCCTGCAAACTCGAGAAGAAGGGCAATGTCTTTGTCCTAACCCTAACAGGCGATGGCGACCACCGGTTCAATCCATCCTCCATTGAAGACATAACACAAGCTCTTGACTTTGTCCACAAGGCCCCAGGCCCAAAAGCTCTGGTCACCACAAATGAAGGTAGGTACTTCTCTAATGGCCTCGATCTCAAATGGATTGGACAAAACATGCCATCTAGCCTCAAAACCATTCAGCCAAAATTTGAAGGTCTACTGTGTAAGATGATGAAATTAGGGTTGCCCACCATTGCTGCAATCAATGGCCATGCGGCGGCTGGTGGGTTCATGTTTGCCCTAGTCCATGATTATAGGTTCATGAAAAATGATAAAAGTGTTCTCTATATGAGTGAATTAGACCATGGAATGTCATTGCCTAGGAGTTTAATGTCTGTGATCAAAGAGAAAGTGCCACCTTCTTGCTTGAGAGAGGTAGTTTTGAGGTCCCAAAAATTTACAGCTTCCGAAGCTCGGACACTTGGTTTGATCGATGGTTTTTCTGGGAGCTTGGAGATAACTTTGGAGCAGGCAATGGGGGAAGCTAATAAACTAGCAACGAAGAAATGGGACATGGAAGTTTATGCGAGCCTCAGGTGCGCGCTTTACCCAAGCATGATCGAGGAGCTTGAGGCGCATAGGGATCCTTATATATGGCCTAAGGGTTCGAAGCTTTGAACCCTCTCTCTCCCATTTAGCTGTATTTTCTGGTTCAAAATAAGATTGGTATCTATGGTTATGATGCTATCCCAAAAATGTCCATGAGGCACTTGAATTGCATTCTGATTTTCTGAAAGTTATGAAATGTTGTTCTCCTTCTCTCTCTATATACTGATGACATTGCTGGGTCAAGAATAAGATGGGTGTAGCTCTGTTTTTTTATGTAATTCGTGATGTCATCTCATGCGGCCTGAGTGCATTATCTGGCTTGAGCTATCTTCCTTGCTCACCTGCTCATTAATTAGAATCTTCTCCTGTTCATTAATTCTGTTGCTATCTCGCTCTCGTTCAGCTTGTGACTTACGCTTTACATTACAATGGGTACCTTTGATCTTGGTTTGTTTCAACATGTTTTATGGGAATTGTTGAATTGTAATGTGATATTCTTCTGTTCATGAATATTATAAGTTTATGCTTGGATTTGTGGTCACTTGTCTCCAAGTCCTGCTATGTTCTCGATTGTTAACATTTTAACTGCTTTTCTAGTTCAAATAAGAAAGGGTGAATCTAGCTTTTTGCAAATTCACTGCACCTAGACATGTTATTGGATGATTGAACTATACTGTGAATTTCCGGCCATTGTGAATGTACAATTCACTCTGTCTCTTTCTCAACATTGTATTTCTAACAAAAAGTTAAAACTATTAATAAGATGGTTTGCTATGGTACCAGACCATCACACCGTGTATTGGATGTTTGAATTGTAATTTGATTTCTCTACTGTTTGTAGACGATAGTATGGTATCACAGTCTCCACAGTCTACCACACCTCTCTCTTAACATTTTCGTTGCATTTTAAAGATTACATGAGTAGCACTTTATAGGTCACCGTGATACCATAGATTGGGATCTCTGTCTATCTCATCTTGCTTGTGGAAACACAAACACATTCTTCCAAGAGTTCAGGTATAAGTCGGAAAACATAGAACTCAATAGTTAACACGAAAAAGGGTTGGAAAATGTTCTCATATAATATAAGCAGACACATCTCAACATGAACCTATTATTATTTTCTATTTGTTAAAATTTTATTTTATTTGTCAGAAAGGAATATTGAAGCATAGACAATGAGGGTGTCATGTTTATTGTTGCTTGTCTGAGAAAATAAAATCCAAGTTGAAGCTGCATGGGGAGTATATGAACAATATGAGGCACCCTTAATGCACATGTATCTGTGTTTCAATCCAGATATTATGCATGCATATAGGATTTCCATGGAAGTTTTCAATGTTGTCCCTTATCAGCTAAGACATATGAATTTCTGTCCTAGTTCCATCCATATTTGTAGATAAAGTTTATATGTGGCTATATGTTAACAAAGTTTGTTTCTATCTAATCATCCATATCGAAATATTTAGGAATGGCTAAGGTCACTTGCACCCAAGCTGGGGCTGAAAGGAAAAATACCCAGTGGTATCCCTCTCGGGATAATTACTTCATAGAACTTATGCTCAAGCAGGTTAATCAAGGTCGGTTGATCAGTTCGGGGTTCCACAGAGATGGTTGGAATGAGATGGCAAAGATGATGAAAAAGAAGTTTGGTAAGACATTTGATAAAGATAAATTGAAGAATAGATTCAAAACACTGAAAAAAATTTATCGCGAAGTCAAACAACTCCTCGGACAGTCTGGCTTTAGATGGTGTGATAAGAAAAAGATGGTGACAGCCGAATTGGCAGTTTGGGAGGAATTCATAGTGGTGAGTCTATAACACGAGCAAAATGCTGCTTCTAGTGTCTATGTATTTGCTATATGGATATTTGTGACAAAATTATATACCTTTACTTGCGCAGGAACATCCATGGGCTTCCAAATACAGAGTTAGAATTTTGCCGAATATTGATACCTTGGCCATAGCTTTTGGAGAAACCATTGAAGATTGGAGGCAAAGTCAAAGGGTTTGTGATACAAATCTTGATGACATCATGCCATTAGGAGATACTGATCAAAATGATTTGTCTGGTCACATGTCTGCTGCACAATCTGATGCTCCCCACATTGACCCAGTCGATGAACTGGCTGAATCATCGTCTTCGGGTGAAAATGCGAAAACGTCATCTAGTCAATCTAAGAGGCGCCAATCCGAAGCTCCCCCCTTTCTACCTCCCTTAAAGAAGCGAGTCATTTGTGAAGGAACATCAGAGGTAATGGAACCATTAGTGAAAACAGAGAAGATATTGACATCTCCCCAAAACCTTCAGAAACAGTGCTTAGAATCTGTGAAAGAAATTTACAAGGATGATGAATTAGACAAAGACCTCTTCTTGAAGGCTAGCGACCTGTTTCGGGATCCTTTGAATTCTAATGTTTTCTTAGCATTGAATCCCAAGTATCGAAAGAGGTGGCTGGATTACAAGGTTGGAAGGTCCCCCTAGTCAGTTGTTTTTCAGAACTATGTTTAAAAAGTTCCTTTAGTTAGGGGAACTTACTATTTTGTTTAATGCCATAGCTATGTTATTCAGAACTATGTGATGGCAATATTATCACCTCCGTTGTTGAGGTTTTTGTGTCTTTCACATCCATTTTTCTGGTTGCTCCTCCCTTATCCTGTCCTTTCATTACTACGACCTCTTAGGCCTCTTCTTTGATGGAGTTCTTCTTGTTCATCTTTCACCTTAGTTTATTTTGGGGTGCATGCTCTAACGAGTTTGTAGTATCCATGAATGATATTTGCTCATGGGCTTGTAAGGTTACCTGGATTTTATCAACTGTCATGGCCTTCAAGGCTCCAAGATTCTTCAATGCCTTTAACAATATTCTTACACTTGAGATCAAGTGACAGTGCTAATTTATCCATCTCTTGAAGATTTCCCAAAATTACCCCATTTCTTTTTAGCTGGTTTACTATCACCTGACCCCTTAGAAGTATTTTGAAATGTTCTTGGATTCGTTCATGTGCAATACCTTGAACTCAGGTTTAAGAGTTTGAAGGCACACTCTCATCACATTGTCAACTCCCATAAAATGAATTCTTAAAAATCTTCTTTGCAGCGGAAGTAACTATTCAAAAGTGGCTTCATCCATTTCTTGTGGATTAGAAATAGAGCTTTCTAATCCAACTTTCATGACTCCTTTAACAAACTTCTCTGATTTTGATTCAAATTAGCTTCTTCTTGATTGGTTGCTGGTTCTGCATATCCTGTTTTCAACAATTCCCGGGCATCTCGAGGCGCCAACAATGCCTTCATTTGAAGACTCCAATTCTCACAGTCATTTTTGCTGAAAAGGAGAACTTGTGGTCAAATAAAGGGAGCCGTTGGCTCTCATACCGCTTGTTGGAAGGAGGAAGGAGGTTTGAATCAACATTTTTTGCAAATGATAAGATAGTAAGTTCTCATTCCCACATTGCAAAATTATAGTCCATGCATACACACAATATTAATACCCTTGTAGACTATTCTGACTATTTTATGGACCTTATCTCTACCTTAACATGGATGATTTTGTCTCTACCTTATCATGGATTTGAAAGAGAGACAAATTTACATGGAAAAAAAGAAAAGGGTAAGTCAGTGGGGATTTGGGCTCCTACCCTTTTGGTGAGAATGGAGTCAAAAGACTTCATCATGGGGCTCGTTGGTATTACCGTCAATGCCCCAGCCCATTCTCACAAATTTACATGGAACAATTACAATATACACATACCAAATTCAACATTGCATGCTTTGTACTCCATACTCTCTTTCTTGAAAGTTGGTAGTATACACCAATTCAAATTTATATTATCTAGTATATTCTTCCAAGCTGTTCTTATTTATCTGATTGGGCTTTTTTTATAATTAAACATATTTATTTACTTTCCCTTAACTTGTCCCAAACCTGAGTAAAGGAGGTGGGTTATGTTAGGATAGGTAGCCAATACAAAACTTTGCCAAAACATTTCATGAATCCTTAAAAATTTTTCGTGTAGCCGATCCCACATAGTTGGGAAAAGGCTATGAGGATGATGATGATGATGATGATTCTACCCTTCACGCAAAACTTCCCAAAATTGCATTCTACATTTTATTAAAATAATTAAAGTAGCCTTTTCACCTCCCTCGGTGACTTTTGTCTACCCGCTTGGGTTTTTGCTGTGTTGTAACCTTCTCTACCATCAATACAATGTCAACCATTATCAAAAACAAAAAAAAATCAAGCTTATTTTCAATTTTCAAGAATAAGATGGTGAGCTCTTTGTTGTTTGTACAACTTGTAATTTCATCTCATGTAGCCGAATTGACTGTTTTGCTTGCCCTATCATCCTTGCTGATGACCTGCCTGCAATTTTCAACTTTTTGGCGAGCAGGGCCCTTCGCTAAGGCGACCCACTCTCCCCATTCCTCTTGGCCATCATACCTGAGGTGTTCAGCATCTCCATCTCGAGGCTCTACCAGTCTGGTCTTGTGCAAGGGTTTCAAACTAGTGGCCGTGGCCCTTGGGTGTCCCACCTTCAGTACGTGAATGACACTCTCCCTTCGCAGAGCCATGTGGACAGCCTTTGGACCTTTCTCAAGTGTTTCGAGATGGCCATGGGGTTCAAGGCTAATTTTGCCAAATAAAAAATGATAGGTGTCTACACCTGCCCTACCCTGCCCTGCCCTAGTTCATAGTCTCGTCAATTCTTGGGGTTGTGCAGTTGACCATCTACCATCCAGTTACCTCGGCCTCCCACTATGCTGTGGACTACCTAGACTATCTTTTATAAATTCGACAGGAGGTTCGCAGGTCGGAAGGGCAGGTTCTTGTCTAAGGCTGGTTGGCTAACCCTTATCAGAGCTACCCTTGCGAATACCCCAGTCTATCAGATGTCCCTTTTTTGCATTCCGGCCTCGGTTGCGGACCATGTTGAGTGTATGATGAGGAATTTCTTTTGGCAGGGGAGCATGGACACAAGTAACATCTCATCGCTTGGGACAAGCTGTGCCAACCTAAAGATTTGGGGGGCAGTCTTGGAGAGCATAATGTGGCTCTTCCGGCCAAATGTTGGTGGAGGTACATCACCCAACCGGAACACCTTTGGAGGGAGGTTATCAAATGTAAACACTGCTCTGGGGTTGATCATTGGACCCTTGATTGCAGAAGCAGTGGCATCATATCGGGCTTCTGGAGGTCTGTCCTTAGAAGTCGCGAGCCATTCCTCCAAAATATTCGGTTCGGACCTAGGGAAGGGAATAGGATCAAATTTTGGACCAATGTATGGGTTGGCCACACTCCTCTCAGGGATCAGTATCCCAATCTCTTCCGTTCTGTTTAGCCTGCAACACTTGCTCATCTGTAGCAGATAACTTTAGTGGTGCTGGATTTTCGAGATCTTGGAGGCCTAACTTCACGAGACCTTTTTTCGAACATGAGCTTGATGAGGTCAATTCTTTGGCTGGCTCCATTCAATATGTGTTCCTCACAAGCTTCTTTGGCTGGCTCCATTCAATCTGTGTTCCTCAGAAGCTCTGGCGATGATAGGATCATTTGGCCCCCCTCTCCCACAGGTTTTTTCTCAGTCTCTTCCTTCCTTCGCGGCCCCCTTCCTCCTCTAACCCCTCTGGCCTAGCCAGCACTCTAGCATCGAGAGCTTGGAACCCCTTCATCCCTCCTAGGATCCAGGTGTTCTGCTGGATTGCACTACATGGGAGAGTATTAACAGCCGACCAACTTCAGAGGAAAGGTGTCGAAACCCCAAACTGATGTGCCTTGTGTATGATGAACGAAGAATCCAACAACCACCTTTTTCTTCAGTACAATAATTCTCGGGCACTTTGGAGTACCATTTTATCCTGGTTTGATTGAACTTGGGTTACACCGAGTTCCATTGCCCACTCATTCTGAGCCTTACCTTACAGCACCATGGCCTAAAGCAGGAAGACTGTTGTGGAAAGCTTCGATTGCTGCCACGGCATGGGTCCCTTGAATTGAAAGAAATCATACAACTTTAGGGGTGAGTGGGCTTCGGTCGAGCAATTGGCTGAGAAAGTGAGGAACCTCGTCGCTGTTTGGGCCACCAACCATGACCTTTTCAAGACCTCTGCCTTCAGTGATTTCCACAGTAACTAGTCGAACTTACTGTGCCTTAACCCCCCTAGAGTCTCAAGGGCCCTCCCTGTGGAGACCTCTGGATAGGGGAGCCCTGAATTTTAATTTCGATGGTTGTTCTTTTGGCAACCCAGGATCCGCAGGCATGAGGGGCTCTTGCGCGATGGAGCAGGATGTATCTTGATGAGCTTCTCTAGTGGCACTAGAGTAGCTGACTCGACTTTTGCCGAGGTCTCCACCCTCTTGGAGGGTCTTCGCAAGTATGACCCTTCCTCAAGTCCCCTTCTCATAGTAGAAGGAGATGCCAAGAAAATCATCAAGCATCTCGCTTAGCCTGGCTGTGGCACCTTGACAACATTTTTGAAGAAATTATGTCCATCACCAGAGATCTTAGAGTCATCTGGCAGCATGTGTTTAGAGAAGCCAATTTTGATGCTGATAAGTTGGCCAAGGAGGGGGCTTCCTGTTAAAAGTTTTTCCCCGCCCCCGCCCCCGCCCAGCCTCTTAATGCGATACTTCATTGTTTTTTTTGTATATCGTTTGGACCCTGTGGGGTTATATTGCGTGACCCTTAGGGGTCTTGTATATTTCCTTATTTATGAAATAAAGTGAACTTTACTAAAAAAATATATAATTAATATTATTTATATCTAATATGATTTTTAGCATTATAAATTACTCTTAATTAATTTTTATAAGAAACTAATTAATTATAATAATTTAAATATCGTTTTTTTAAATTCTCTATATATAACTACTATTGATCACCTACACAGATTCACTACATTTATAATATCAACTAAAAATATCTGAAAATAAGAGAATATTCATTGAATGGATAGTTATATTTTTATTATTGAATGCATATTTGCACTCATATGAATATGATATCTAATTATACTTACAGTTTTGTAGTATTTTTATTATACTCGAATGTTATTCCATTTATTTGTGTAATTAATAAAATATTCAAAATTCCTATTCTATACATAAATTATCATTGTATTTATACATATTTATTTCAAGTCATTTATGTTTTGTTTTTACATGATTTAATTTAGGAAAAAGTTTATACAAGGTTGCAACCTTAAAATGTAGAATTACATCTGCACCTCAAAAATCTATCGAGAAAGGTTGTTTTAATGTTGAAAAACCCTCTAATTGATCATCTAGACAACAAGATGTATGATTGTGAAAAAAAAAAAAAAAAATTGCGTCACAAAAATAGTGTATCTTGCAATATATTAATCTAGACCGTCCAATTTCAAGATTTTCATATGTTTATAGATCTACTTGATGTTAACTATTTTTGGAGTTTAAAATTTTATAATTAGACGTGAAAATAGATTTTGAGATAATCTTAAAAATTTTTTACACCAAAATTACATGTTAAGATAAATTTGGGATGTGCGCCTAAGGTTGCCACCTTGTAAAAACCACACCCTTTAATTTGTACATATATCTGATTTAACCACACCCTTTAATTTGTACATATATCTGATTTTTATTTTTTATTTTTTTTGAAATGTTCGAATATATTTTCCAATAGAATAGTATATTTCATTAATGATCAATCTTGTTTAGGTGATGTGAGAGAGATGCGTAACCCACACTTTAGAGAGATGGAACCCTGATACATTGATATTTCCTGCAAAGAGGCCTTTGGGTTTTGTTAAAAGTTTATATACTTAAATGTTGTTTTCCCCGCTTTTGGGGTGCTTGATTAAGTTTTGGTAAACTCAGGAAGGTTGATAATGGATTGTCGTTGCCCCTTTTCTATATGATCTGTAATGTCTTGGATTGTGGTTATCCCTTTTCTATATCACTCTATGATCTGTAATGTCTTCCTCACCTATTGTGTTTGTTTTTTTTTTCCCTCATGGGGGTAGGGGTGGCAATGGACCCGGACCTGACCTGGGTCTGGGTCCGAAAATTGGACCCTGCGGGTGAGGTTCGGGTCCAAAATCTTGGACCCAAACACTATTTAGGTCTGGTTGACTTCGGGCCCAACGGGTCCGGGTTTGGCCGGACACAACTCGACCCATTGCCATCTCCACATGGGAGATAGCATCCGGATTTTGGACCTAAATACTATCCGGGTCTGGTTCCAAGTCCCACATTATATTTTCAGGTTGAAGTCCAGGTCCAGTGACTTCAAGCCCAATTGGGTTCGGGTCTGGCCGGATACGACCCAACCCGTTCCAAACTCTACATGGGAGATAGCATTTGAACTGTGTAGTTAAGATTTATTGTCTGTATTTCTGTTGGGATCAGTTGAGATTTCTGTGGAGGCTGCTTGTATTTCTTCCTGATTCAGTAATGCTTCTTGATAGAATCCCATTCTCTGCTGTTATATGGGAGGAATTATTTTACTCTCTCCCTCAAATCTAAATACAATTTCTCTCTGTCTTATACTTCCAATGCTTTTTTTTTTCGCTCTACTAAGGGGTGAGGTTTGTATAACCTTGTACTATTGAAGTAAGGCACACCTCAAAATTATGCCGAAAATGCAGTTTTTTGTGTTGTAATGATATGAAAATCTATTGTTGCCCCCAATGTTTTAAAAAACGGCGAGTCAAACCGGACTCGCCCGGTTCGACTCGAAACACATGTGCATGTGTCGGTTCCAACCAAAAACCGGGAACCGCCCGATTCTAGAGTGGAACCGCCGGTTCCCATCCAATTTAGCCCAGTTCACACACATAACGCATGACACGCATGTGCGAGCGTGCCCCACGCACACTCACACGTGTGTCCAAGCGCACGTGCGAGTATGCCCCACACATACTCACACGTGTGTCCAAGCGCACGTGCGAGCATGCCCCACACACACTCACACGTGTGTCCAAGCGCACGTGCGAGCATGCCCCACACACACTCACACGTGCACACACTCGCACGTGCACATTGCGTGTCCAAGCGCACGTGCGACCGTGCCCCTTCCCCCCCGCACACTCACGCGTGCACACGTGTGTCCAAGCGCACGTGCGATCGTGCCCCCACACACACTCACGCGTGCACACGTATATCCAAACGCACATGTGAAGTTACCCTAATTTTTTTACACACATTTTATAGTTCATATT